AAAAATTAAACCAACAACAATACTCCATTATTAACTTCCCATTAAATCAGAAAATGTTTGAAGCCAACGGCTATTCTTCTTGCAGCTTTTCTTTTTATTTTTAGGAGTAGTTTCTCTTAGCTTAGGTTACTGGAGTTACTAGGTTTTTCACCCCATCGTCAAATGACAGATCTGGACCGTATTTGCTAAGCTAGTCATCATCATTGTACATCGGGAAAAAATTATTTTACCTCCCTAAACTATCCTCGAAGTTTAGTTTTTCTCCCTAAACTCAAAAACTGGGTAAACCACCTCCCTCAACTTTTAAAACCATTCATTTTACCTCCCTGACCCTGTTATAGGTGATTTTTAAATACGGTTTTGTCTTTTTCTTTTTTATTTATTTTGGCCGAATATTTGAAAAATCATATTAAATCATAGAAAAATCATAAAATGAAAAATATAATTTTGTTGGACTCCACATGAGTAGATCTACACAGTAAACATAACAATGATATGCTTTAGTATAAAGTTTTTGTTGTAGCTTTAGATATATGATTTTCTGTAATTAATTCATAGCTGCAGTTTCTATGGTCCAATTGTGGTGAATTTTTTATGGTGGTCCAATTATTGTATGCTTTAACTGTAGTAAAAATTTCATACTCCTTTATATTTTTACACACTTTTAACTATTTTAAAACTATTTAACAAGCATAAAACTAAATAAATCTTTAACTCAATTATACATCATCTAATGAGCATGGGATTTTTACTACAGTACAATCATATAATAATTAGTCCACCATAAAAATTTCATCGCAATTGGACTATATAAACTTAAGGTTTGAATTAATTACAAAAAATCATAGAGCTAAAACGATGGCAAAAACTTTGTATTAAAGCATACCATATTATATATTCATGTGTAGATTCCAAGAAAATTAGATTTTTCTATTTTATGATTTTTCTGTGATTTACTATGATTTTTAAAAAAATCAGCTGAAATAAATGAAAAACAAAAAGACAAATCTGCCTTTGAAAACCATCTATAACCGTGTCAGGGAGATAAAATGAACGGTTTTAAAAGTTGAGGAAGATGATTTACCCGGTTTTAGAATTCAGAAAAAAAAACTAGACTTTAATGATAGTTCAGGGAGGTAAAATAGACTTTTTCCTTTACATCCTGGCTCTCTGACTTTTCAGAATCCTGGGCTTTGAGTCCACTTCACTAGAACAGATAGCGATTTACCATCCCATTCATTCTCTTTAGAAAAAAAGGGTCCCATTTTACAACACTAAACTGATTTTATCCTTTATTTATTACTCGAATGGGAGAGTGAAGATAACCAGAAGGTTTTATTAAAATGTTTCCGAATGTCTAAAAGTGTTACTTTTGCTACATCGCCACATCACCGAAAACAACTCTAAATTCAAGAAAAACATTTAAACGTGACGTACGGTTTTAATAGTTGGTGATTGGGAAGGGACCGTTTCTTAGTCATGGAAAGAAGAATTGGCCCACAGTTGACAGTTCCCTTTTTTCTGTCAAAATACGTGGGAGAATTGTGCAACTTTTCATTAAGAACAGGATAATATACTCCATCGATTTTAGATTATAGCTCACTTTCACTTTGTTTTAAGTCAAAGTTTTATAATTTTGATCAAATTAAATATATTAACATCTACAAAAGATTCAAAACTAAATGCACTATCAAGAAATTTTTTTAACTATGAAGGATTAAATGAAACTAATTTGGATATTATAATAGATGTTGACGCATTTTTATAGTTGCCCAGATCTAGGACAAATGATCTAAAGTTAACTAGAATTTGGAACAAACAAGAGTGTAGAACAAGGCATCACTATTTCCTTCGCTGAGTTTTGCCTAGTCGATATGAAGGACCGAGCAGGCGATCGAGTGGAGGTGAATGGGAGTCAAATAAAAAAAAAATCTTCGACGGAACTTGGCTTCTGTCCCAAATCAACCTGAAGCGCCCGTAAATCAATACTCTTTAAAATGAGTTCACACAGGCCAATTGGTGACCAGATCCACTAAAGAAACCTCAGAGAACACAGGGGAGAAGATGCAGAAGCTAATGGAGCAAGAACCAGCAAAAAGCTTGAGAACACGGTTCAAACAAGACCGGTCTGGTATGCAAACCGGACCTGTGTGGTATGAACGCGACAGCATGTGTCACTTTTAAAGAAAAAGTGAAAACCCTATCAAACGGGTCTACAAAAATTACAAAATTTTAAACATAAGCTCACAACACCATAAGGTAGCAACCAGCCAAATCTGAGTTCAAAACTCCAAGCTTTGAGTACTGGACACGTCCGGTATTAATACCGGACCTGTCCAGTATTAAACGAGCTACGGCAAAAATTTTCCAAGAAAAATCACAAATGATTCAAATCAACTCCAAATTTGATAAAACTTGACGAAGGGCTTCTGTGACTCAGTATGAAGGTAACCCCAAAAGACAGAGATCTTAGAATAGAAGCCGATAACAAAATCCATATCCGAAAAAGGGGTTTTCTCCAAGAGAGGGAAAAAATCAGATCTACATTGCAGGCTGAGGCAATGCATAAGATACTGAATGCCTGCACTTGCAAGGCACGTATCACCGGCGAACTCCATATTTTGGTTGAAATGTTTTATCGGTGTTGTGTAAACCGGACTAGTAAACTTATGTGATTGCCGCGCAGCTCTAGGAAGACGATGCTAGCATCCAATAGACACGAGGATTTATACTGGTTCAGGCCAGAGCCTTACGTCCAGTCTCAGAGATGATTGAGTGCGTGTTCCTCGCTTGAATGCTCTGAAGTTCTTACAATGGGGGTTGCAAGAAAGGTAGAAGAGATAGAAGGACCTATGCTAGGCGAAGGGCTGCCCGAAAAGAAACTCCAGGTGCCCTACTACAATGGTGAATGAATGGAATGGTAGATGATGTGAATCGTCCCCCGAGATGGGTGTCCTGGCTGTCCTTATATAGAGTTCGGGGCCAGAGCTTATACAAAGAGGAGGTTCTCCCGACCGAAGAGTCGAGAGCCTGGGGGGGGGGGCTAGCTGACTTAGCTTGCAAGCTACGCCGTCTTCTAGTGCACGTCCGGTCGTGGCTATCGTCATGGCCTTCTGGCCACGTTGCGGCAGGATGTGACGTGGCGCTGTTGTGCCGGCCTTAGCGGCACTGTAGCCTCGATGGCGGTTCATTAGCCATCCTGTGCAACGCGGTGTCCATTGTGGCCTTCGTCATCGTTTCCTAGTTCCCAGTGGCATCGTACCCAAAGTAGGTAGCTGCCCTGAGTTGTCGATCGCTTGGTCGCTTTGAGGGGCCGAGGGCCACGACCCCGATCGTCGGGGTCGGGGCACTCTGCCGGTCATGATGGCCTTTTCGTCGAGTCCCTTGTCGTGAATCCCCATCCCATAGTGGGTGGGATCATACAAGCGTCTAGTCGGTCTGTATTTGGACGGTGGGTGTCATACCCGTTGCCACCGCGGTGCGGTGTTGTCTTGTCGGTGCAACATGACATAGGGATTGTGTCTGGCCGGGCCAAGGTGACTGCGGGCATAGGGATTGTGTGTGACCGGTGAGGTGGTTTACAACTTTTTCTATGTACCATGTATGAATTAGGCCAGAAGTATGCATGGCCATTATGGTCTGTGTTGCTGTGACCGGTGAGGTGGTTTACAACTTTTTCTATGTACCATGTATGAATTAACGACAACTTCTTTCATGAAAGACAGTAAACAAAAGTAACAAAACTTGTTCACGGGTCAAAGTTTAACCAAAGAAAAGACAACATGGAACTGATTTTAATCATATGCTCACCTTTAATGGAAGGTTACTTAGTGAATCAAGCCATGTGATTGTCCCTAAAAAATAATCAGCGTATGCTTAGATGTTTCAACACCAATTGTTTGTAATTAGCATGAAATAAACCAAAGTCAGAGCATGCCTGGAGTAGTAGGACGGGCCAGCGCATATGTATTCACTTCTATGCACACATCATTGGTAATCGCAAATGAAAGAGTTTTGACTCTGCGCTTCTTCATTATTCGTTTTCTCAGTTGATTAGTCATATCCTCTAGCCTTTAAAGACAAATGAAAAATTGTGGTCTCCTCAGTTGATTAGTCATATCCTGTAGCCTTTAAAGACATCAATAAAAAAATGTGACAGAGAAGGAATTTAAACTAAAACATCCATTCAGAGAAAATACGAACTTCCCAAATGACTAGAGATCAACAGACCAGCAGCATAGCAAAGCATAAAAGACCGAGCAAGACACAAACATATGGTACAATTTTTAACATACTCCAACATAGCTCTATAGCTGGAGTCTACAAAACCTCTATAGTATAAAACAATCATTTTTAATAGATGCACTAAACACAAATAAGTAATTCATGTTCTACTACTGGATAATGGATAGTGACACAAGAAACCCACAGAATATTGTATCATATAACATCAAATACATGGATAACTCTGTGCATTTTTTTCTCAAACACGGAGGAGAGCCGCATATTTTTATACTAAGAAGATTAGAAAAAGGGGAGGGGGGTAAGGAGCCCCCACGAAAGAAGACCCGGCCCATACAAAAGAAAACAAAAAAAAACACTACAACAGACTCACACACTCACAAAACTCTGTGCAAAAGTGCCCTCCATGACAGACTTTTTGATAGAGATCAAGGACAAGTCTACATGAGATACTGTTATGAAGCTGTGGTGCATAGTGGTTTGTGGTTGGTGTTTATTCCCAGTGTGTAGAGGGGTGGGTGTGTTCAATTAATTGCAAAGCTCTAGCCCTCTGTTCAAAGAAGAAAAGACAAGTCCAAATGGAAACAAAAGAGAGGCAACTGTGATTAGATAGAACAATGCCGGGCCTGTTTGGTTGTGCCTCCAGGCAGAGTTGCTTGGCCAGGCAGCAACCCAGGCCGTCGATTTTGAGCACCTGGCGGCTGGGATCACTGCCTCGCCGGCACCCTGCCTGCCAGGTCGCAATCCAAACAGCCCTGCTATCTCCGTTCATAACTCTCGATTATCTCATCTCCATCCAGACCAATCAAATCCTGGGCAATTGGAACTGTTCAGCAGTTAGCACATAGAGAAGAGAAAAAAGCAATTATGGAGACTTACTGCATAAAATAGGGACATGTCAAACTGCTCATCAGGCCGGCTAAGTGGAAGAAGTTCAATAGACAGGCCAAGATCTTGTGCATCCTGGAGAAAAGAAAGTATTGTTATGGTAAACAAAGGACAAAAAAACATTTTGGGATGTGCTGGCATCATGCAGTTTAAATAGAAGAATTGCCTTTGCACGTTGAACTGTTGTCCTAATCATATCAGTTTTCACTGCTCCTGTAATAGTACCAAAAGGATCATCTTCATTGGTGAATATAAGAATTCGTTTACTGATGGTCTTCACAGATCTGAAAAGTTTCAAATGAGGAACATGGAATGACTAGATTCAGACAGGTATTAAGTGGTGCAACTGAAGGAAGACAAAGCACTACTTGCATGCTACATTCACTTTATCAATCAAATACCTACACAAACTAATGCAGTCTACATGAAAGGTTGATGTACAAAGGCTACATAACATGTCAATAGGCAGTAGCCCCCACGAAACAGCAATTTGTTATTGGATGCAAATTACATGACACTGCTCAAAGGCCAAAAGAAGGGAAGTAGTCATACCCCTTGCGCAGCAGCGCCTGAGCAACCCAAAGAGCATTATACAGGGTATTCTCCCGAGATCCAGCTGTTATTCCAAATCGACTTCCACTGGTGCTCATAAAAGAATCTGCGATTAGTCGAAACAAGGTTTATAACCAGAAAAGAAAACAGGATTGCTGACTTTTCCCTATACATACATAGATATCTCATTGAATTAATCAATCCAGAACAAAACAAAATTTATATCTATATATCTTTTAAAAGCAGTCCACACTACATATCTATCTCTCCATGCAAACTATCCATGTCTGCAACCCGCTAGCGTGCAATTACGAAAGCTATCTCTCCATGCAATCTATCCACATCAGCAAGCCACAACACCTGTTAACATGCATTTAGTTGTCCACATCAGCGAGCCACATCATACAGTAACATTCATTTATGATAATTTACCCCTCCATGCAAGCTTTTTCCATACTAATAAGTCACATAAGCCAATAACTATAGACCGTCCCATTTTCATTCCAAACCATCTGCGATCCCACAGCAATGTGCGGGGTATTCTTCTAGTTAACAAGAAAACCTGATGAGTATGATAATCTAGCCAGTATATACTGTTACACACTACAGTGTCGAATTTGAGAACATGAAACCAGACTGATGAGAAACTATAATGAGATTTGAGATTTATTTTTTAATTAAGTCTATATGTCTTATTTTTAGGCATGTGAAGTTTTACGCACGAGTTACGAACTAAAGTTACAGCATAAAAGGCGTAAACTTTCTGTACTTAAGAAAGTGGGTGGAACTTGGAAGCAATATTAGTGACATGAGAAAAACAGGGAGACCCAAACAAAGACACTTGTATGACGAAGATAACAATCACTGCACTGAAACAAAATCAAGGATTCTACTGGACAATAAATACTTTTAGCCAAAAACGTTATCCACGAACCACATTCTACTGAAAAAAGTTGAGCATGCATATCCCTCAAACTTTGACCATGTGTCACCAAGGAACAATTCATTTAGTGGGGTATTACCTTCTATGCAAAAAAAATATTTGATGAGTTTTGCAGTGGGTCTATCAAGTTGCTCTCTGTCTCCAACATTATAAACATAAACACCAGCTGAGTCCTGTAAATTCTTCTTCTCTTTCTGCGAGTTGTGAGCAAACCAGATCAAGCAACTGGGCACTATGCTTAGCAATATCTGTGCAATGGCTCTACTTTAAATGCTATCAATGCAAAGTTCATGAATATTGCAACTTGCAAGGGACCTAAGAAGGCAAAGTTGAATATTTGTTGAGAAATGACTAATAACTAATACAAAAAGGACAGTTGCACAGTTAGCTCATTATTTCACTTTTAGGAAAATAAGCAAAATACTGCAACTCATCTACATCTATATTACAGAAACTGTCATTCCTGACACCGATCCTCTCATTTTTTTACTGGATGCAGCAACACTTAAACTGTCTTATACTATTATTTAGCCTTCAAGTTCGCTCCTTATTCATCAAGCTTAGTGCCTTGGTGCGTTCTACACAGCAAACAATAAGTAATGTTGGGGGGCACTGAGATACATGCAGTGAAGCTTTCAAATTTTGCCTATCGATGTTTTCTGTCAATATTTAGTTGCAATCTAAAACTTTGTTTCGATTCGTCTCTCACAACACACTATATTTTTTCTAAGTTTATAAATAAAGTTACAATAGAAACTAGTGCCCAAATTTGTGTTATGAGCTTATGGCCCTTTTGGATACCATTTTGGTGTCCAATATCCAATTATTTGTGACAGGTGGTAGTAATGATATATTGAGTAAAACTGGAAATGTGCAACATAGAGTTGTAACATAATGCAAAGAAGAGTTGCCAACATGCTCTTTCTTTCTTGCACTCTTACGCCCCACAGATGCTTCTGATAACATCGAAACTCAAATAGGAAAAACAAAACTGCAAACTACGAAAATTGCTAGAAGCAGAGGCTTGTTTGCTTATTGATTTGAGAAAGAGCTTACAGTGTTAAAGAAACATATTGCGACTTCATCATAAGATCTACCAATAATTTGTGTCTTGAGAGACTCCGTGATGCAGTTAACAATGGTATTAAAATGTGTCTCCTGCTTTTCATTGTCCTGAAAAAAAAATGGTACATTGTTATTTAGCAATGATGTAAGCCCCTAAAAGAATGTCAGGGCAAAACTTGGCCACAGAGACTGAATAATTAGATAAGGGCAAACTAACAAAGTAGTACATTTAGCATTGCATTACCTAAAGGTTAGAACAGTAAGCACCAGTTGCCTTGTCTTTAAAATCCTATATGGCTATGGATTGTAACAGACAAACAAACTAGTTGCAAAAATCCAGAACAAACTTAATGATCCAACTTCAGACTAGGTCTTAATTAATTTCCAAATAGAGACATAAGAAAATGATACCCATAATGTCAAATTAAGTGGCGTAGACTAGTTGTGCCTCACCTGGGTGGTAGCAGGGGTGAACATTTTGGGCAAGGCGTCGACAATGTAGACAGCCATATCCTTGCTCGCCTCCCTCTCCTGATTCCACGAGCAAGCAATCTAGCACCCGCGAAGAATGCGGTGCCACAGCAGCGTCAAATTACTTTCTCAGAACACTGATGATACAATAAAAGGGGGGGGGGGGGGGCGCAGCTAGGAGCCGGTACGAACCTGGACGTTGTCTTCGTCTTCATCGCTGTCGTCGCGGAAGATGCCCTCGGGGTCCAGGTCCATGGCGCCGACTTCCGACAGAGGGGTCAGGCTTATGGTGGAACTGGAAGGTTCTAGAAACTCGCTAGGGTTTAAGCACCTGTTTGGCAGGGCTCCTGCAAGGGCTCCGGCTCCGGCTCTTGCAGGAGCTCCACCAAACACCTCTTCACAGAACGGTTCCTCCGGCGGAGCACTTTGGGAGCCGGAGCCGTTTTGTATAGCACGAGGAGGAGCCCAGAAACGTAGCTCCGCGCGGCTCCTCCTGCTGTCTAGAATGCAAAGACGTTGACGCCCTTCCTTGTCTCCCTCGGCTTCGCAGGACGGCAGTAGGCTTCGGCGGCGCTGTACGGCGAGCGGCGGCGCGAGCAAGCGCCGTGTGGGAGCGGCGGCGGTGGCGGCATGGGAGAGAGCAAGCACGGCGTAGGAGAGCGGCGGCGCAGGCACTGGGTGCGATCCTGCTGCCGGCAGCAGCGGCCTGAGCAAGCGGAGCCGAGAGCGGCGGCGGCGGCGGCACTGCAATCTTTTTTTTTTTTACGAGAAGATGCGAGCGGTTGGTTCCTTGGAAGGGAAGACCGGCGGTGGGTTGGTGCAGGTCGTATGGGCCTAGGCCCAAAGGGGTGCCTTCCTCATTTCTTCGTTAGAAATTATTTTAAATATGATTTACCTTTGCTCAAAAAATGATTTACCTAAATTATAACCGATATTATAATTAATTGATGCAAGATTTTGTACAGTCAAATAATAAGTACGGGCACTTTTGACATTTTTACTTTTCATCGATTCCAGAAGAACAGGAGGAGCCGTTTTGTCGAACGTTTTTTCAAAAGAGCAAGGGACAGAGGGCGTGGGAAGGAAGGGGCTACTGCTGCTCCGTTGAAACAAGGGAAGCGAAACCCAACTGGGCCTACGGCACGGGCCCGAAGCTTTAGATATGGCCCATGGGCCAACCTACCGGTGAAAGAGTAATAACGTCGTTAAATCCAGAAAAATGTGAGCATTCGTGTTAAATCCTGAAATAATAAATAAATCCAGAAAAATATGAGCAGTCGTATGTGTTAAGTCGAGAACTTAAACCCGGGTGGGCAGCTTCCATCACATGGAACCCCACCAGGTGAGGTATAGTCAGTTCGCGTGTATGATTGCTATTATTACCAACTATGTGTAGGTTTACAAAATAGACCGGTAGATCTTTTGTCTTTTTTTTTGAATGCATAGGATTTTCATATTTCTCTAACACACTTTCTCAAAAAATAAAGAGGCCGAACCATATGATTGCACATGATTGTGTTAATGTGTTTGAAACTTTGAACGGTGACCATGTGGCTATTAGCTAGGGTCAAGCGTGGGAAGCCATGCATCTGGATGGATCTAGACGGTTACGATGTTCGTTGGCCACTCTGCCAGGAGGCGGCTAGCTACCTACTCTACTGTGGTTAACTCATATGGATTATGGGCAAAGCATGGCTTAAACTAATACTAATAGGTTATATATATATATATATATATATATATATATATATATATATATATATATATATATATATATATATATATATATATATATATATATATATATATCGCCTCGCCCATGATATGATACTGCAGTGACCATGAAGCAAGCAGGCAATTTTTTTTTTAGAGTTCAAGGGTGGCCCTCCGGCCTTTATATTGCAAAGACCAAACCGTTAAGCTCCTTACAACATTTAAAGTTCAAAAGGGCCTCAACAGGAAAACAAACGCCCAAAAAACAGAACTAACTACTGACATCATTACATCTCCCAAGCTTCCACAAGACCCGCAACGCTAACCCAGTTTCTTTCACGAGCCAACCTTTCCAGATCAACTTCATTTGTCAGAAGAGCTTTAACTTCATCAGCTGTATCGATCTTCCAGCCATTCCCAGGTTGAAATAAGCTACAATCCCATTCAACATTCACCTGACCAAGCCAGGTAGACGGTGAGGTCTTGTGGCAAAGCTTTTCAGCTTGTCCAGGTGATCCAAAAAATCTGGGATTTTCTCCTTTGGACACAGAGAACTCCAATTTTGCAGCATTGCTGTTACCTTCACTATCAGCACTCGCACATCTATCCAGAGTGATCCCTGAAAACACAAGTTATTTCTTAGTTTCCAAAGCCCCCACAGGCAGCGGCACAAAAAACATTTTCCACTATGAATTTTCTATTACTAATCCACATAGTTCCAACAAAAACAAAATATGTTCCAACTTGTCTATTGAAGATCTCGGAAAGAATTGACCAGAGCTATTTAGCTAGTACACAGTTAAAAAATAAGTGATTGACAGTTTCAACCTCTGAACAAAACAAACAAGTAGAATCCTGGATTTCTTCCTTATGCTCAAATTATCCCTAGTCAAAACCTTATTTTTAAGATAACAACCACATAAAGAAATGGACTCTAGGTGGAACCTGGCATCATATATATATATATATTGCTCTATACTGCGTGTGTTGCCAAATCGCATGGTCGAGGCCCATGATTCTAGGCTATGCCATTAGCAAGACGCGTGGTCGAGTAGAAGAAGGTATTAGCTGTGTTTGTGATGTCCATATGCCCTCAGAGACCTTACTCTGATATATAACGTCCATCACAACAGTTACCTGGAGAAAATCTGTCAGAAGCTAATGAAGAGTCAAAGCAATCCCAGAATCACCGGCCATGAACCATGATGCATCCTGCTGCCAATGGAGGTCGGCGTTGGCGCGCGATGCGAAGATTCTCTTCAAGCTAGGTCAACCGAGCCCTGCGCTGGAATCGAAGACGCAGCGGATACTAAATTCAGCTACTATAATTTAATACTTGATGCTTGCTCTGCCAGCAATGCCCGAAATCCCAGCTCAAGGCTGCTACTAGTATATGAGCATGGGCATCCATCTTGCATGCTGCCCGTTGGAGCACAGCCACTACAGTAGCAGCTGGCAGCCAGAGTGCTTCGATCACTTGCAGCGCGCAACACACTGCTGCCTGGTGGCTAGTAGCTAGCAGATGGCCGTGGCAGCGGCGGCGACCGCCACCGCCGCCAGGACTGCGCCTCCTCCCATGGTGGCCGTAGCAGTGGCAGTGCTACTCGTCCTGTGTGCTGCATCAGTTGCCGGGCAGGGGCAGCTCCAGGTCGGCTACTACAGAAAGACGTGCCCTGCGGCGGAGCAGATCGTGCGCAACGAGACGACGGCCGCCATCCGGGACTCGCCGGACCTCGCCGCCGCGCTCCTCAGGATGCACTACCACGACTGCTTCGTCCAGGTATGTACCGTACACCGTTGGCAGGCATTGGGTAGCAGTACTGCTGGTCTGCTGCCATTGGATCTCTCCCGCTCATCACTCTGCATCTTTCAGGGGTGCGACGCCTCCGTGCTGCTGGACTCGACGCCCAACAACACGGCGGAGAAGGATTCGCTGCCCAACGGCAGCCTCCGCGGCTTCGACGTCGTGGCGCGGGTCAAGGACCAGCTGGAGAAGGTGTGCCCGGGCACCGTCTCCTGCGCCGACATCCTGGCGCTCATGGCGCGCGACGCCGTCTCGCTGGCTAAGGGCCCCACCTGGCCCGTCGCGCTGGGCCGCCGCGACGGCCGCACCTCCAGCGCCGCCAGCTGCGTCGAGCTCCCGCCGCTGCACGGCGACATCGGGCTCATGGTGCAGGCCTTCGCCGCCAAGGGCCTCGACGTCAAGGACCTCGCCGTGCTGTCCGGCGCGCACACGCTGGGCAAGGCGCACTGCGCGTCCTACGCCGACCGCCTCTACGCCTCCGCCAGCTGCGCCACGCCCGACCCGGCACTCGACGCGCGCTACGCCGACAGGCTGCGGATGCGCTGCCCCAGCCCCAGCGCCGCCAGCAACAGCACGACCGCGGCGGCGGCGTCGGAGCTCGACCCCGGCAGCTGCACCACCTTCGACACCAGCTACTACCGCCACGTCGCGCGGAGGCGCGGCCTGCTCCGCTCCGACGCCTCGCTCCTGGACCACCGCTTCACCAGGGCCTACGTGCTGCAGGTCGCCTCCGGCAGGTTCGACGGACACTTTTTCCACGACTTCACCGTCTCCATGGCCAAGATGGCGGCCACCGGCGTGCTCACCGGCGACCAGGGCGAGATCAGGAGAAAGTGCAACGTCGTCAACTGAACATTAATTCATTGCTGCTTCAGCTTATGATGATTCCTTTCGTAGGCCCTGTTTGGAACGCTTATCTGTGAATCGATTTTAATCCGATCAGAATTTTTTGATATGATGTGATCTAAAGAATCTGCTGTATAAACAACCGAGGCTGTTTGATAATCCTGATTACCCATAGATTGTCTGTCATGAGTGTAAAATGACCTATATGCCCCTGAGACTGATGACACCTCATTTATTCACTGAATACGAGCTAAAGACAGTTATGGTACTAATTTTTGTGTTCGCATAATTAAAAGTTTGTTCCAATAACTAATGTTACACAACATGAAATTAACACAAGTCTGGACAAATTGAGATGGATACAACAGTTAATCAACCAACCATAGCTGTGGCTATAGCATCACGCAAAGCACTCACCTGAGCTGGATTCCGGGTCCATTTGTACCATCTTCTTGGATATGAGATTGAAAGTCTGCATCATTTATATTATTGTCTTTAATGACAAGATTTGGATAGCCCAAGATTTGCATAGCCCAAACTATTCAAGCAATGTTCAGGCCTATTGTGGGCAAAAACTTCCACACAAATGTCGTTGAAGGCCTTGGCAGCAAAAGCATCTCATTTTGCCTAAACTTTTGCTGACTTGTCCATTTAAAATCTCCACGGACTAATAAATATGTAAAACACAAGCATTCAACATTACATTTGAAGAAAATTTCCTAACCAATTCCTAAAACACAAGCATTCAACATCTGCACAGACTATGTCCCTAACCATGCTATGCATATATAATTCGTCCATTTGCAATACAAATCAAACCTACAATCCATACATCGGTAAAGAAGTACCTGAATAGATCTTGGACAATGGATGGTTGAACCAGCACTCCGTC